GTTTTGATTCATATTGGACACATTCAGGTTGGTAATCGTTAAAATATGAAGAATTACTATAAGTAAATTGATTATTCCAACCATAAGCAGGAGAATTGCTCCAATTATCACTATTTTGATCAAAACAAGGATTGTAATGCTCTAATTCATCATAATAATCCATATTTTGTGCTTGCATACATGTATTAGTAGCATGATAACCTCCACACAAGTCACAAATCACATGATAAGAATTAAAAGCATTAACATTCCTCCCTTGCTCAATTTCATGTATAATTGCGTCCATTTGAACTTGTAATATCATAACATCAAATTTAGCCTTTAAGCACCTTAAACCATCTTCAAAAGACATACATTCAGTAAATTCTTGGTTACCTCTGTTGAAAGAGTTTTGCACTTGGTAACCATCCATTGCCAATCTTCCATTTCTCAAGCATTGTCCTCCAAATTGACCTACCCTTCTCATTACCTAAAATTGCTTTTAAACAACCTCAAAAGCAAAATTAGTAAGAAAAATAGGTAATGAAACACATACACATAAAATACAAAAATAACAAAAAATAACATTCACATTATAACTAATATTACGTCTAAACTAATAAAGTTACTCTTCACACCGATATTGCCAAATCTTCCCCGGCAGCGGCGCCAAAAACTTGACGGGTATTTTACATACGTGCAAGCTAAAAAATACCGAATTACACCCGTTCACTGCAAGTATACAGATCAACTTGGTGACTTTATAGCAAAAGCCACATGATCTAATGATGTGAGAAATGGAAGTGACTTACCTATCCCAAGTAGCTCATAGATATTACCTTGAATATGCACCACTTGAGAACTTACCAAAGGGAATGCCATGAGAGTATCTTGAGGAATACCTTTAGAACCTATACTTTCAATGCACTCCTCAAGAGGGGTGAAAATGAGTCATTAAAACTCACCTCTTGAGGTTCAAAGTTAGTTCCAAAGATATTATCATGTGAAATGGACATTTGCTCATTGAAACACAATTGAGATTCATCATTTTCATCAAATGCAATCCATTTTCACATACAACATTCCTACCATTCATGCTAGGATCATTTTGCAATTTATTAGAAGAAATAACTTCACACAATGCATTCAATTGCTCATGTATTCTACCAAAGTGAGAAGTTAATTCATCTATTCTTTCCTCAATCCTGTCAAAACGGTCAGAAGTTGCATTAGCTAATTTTTCTAAAGCTAACTCCCAAGATGGCTTAGAATCATTAGCTACCATTTCAATTGCCAACTCCAAGATGGTTTTGATTCATATTGGACACATTCAGGTTGGTAATCGTTAAAATATGAAGAATTACTATAAGTAAATTGATTATCCCAACCATAAGCAGGAGAATTGCTCCAATTATCACTATTTTGATCAAAACAAGGATTGTAATGCTCTAATTCATCATAATAATCCACATTTTGTGCTTGCATACATGTATTAGTAGCATGATAACCTCCACACAAGTCACAAATCACATGATAAGAATTAAAAGCATTAACATTCCTCCCTTGCTCAATTTCATGTATAATTGCGTCCATTTGAACTTGTAATATCATAACATCAAATTTAGCCTTTAAGCACCTTAAACCATCTTCAAAAGACATACATTCAGTAAATTCTTGGTTACCTCTGTTGAAGGAGTTTTGCACTTGGTAACCATCCATTGCCAATCTTCCATTTCTCAAGCATTGTCCTCCAAATTGACCTACCCTTCTCATTACCTAAAATTGCTTTTAAACAACCTCAAAAGCAAAATTAGTAAGAAAAATAGGTAATGAAACACATACACATAAAATACAAAAATAACAAAAATAACATTCACATTATAACTAATATTACGTCTAAACTAATAAAGTCACTCTTCACACCGATATTGCCAAATCTTCCCCGCAGCGCGCCAAAACTTGACGGTATTTTACATACGTGCAAGCTAAAAATACCGAATTACACCCGTTCACTGCAAGTATACAGATCAACTAGTAGTTTAGGTATATATTGGGTCAATCCCACAGGGAAGAGTGAACAATTACCGGTATTACTAAAACTTCTCTATTATTTAGACTATACGAATTATAACAAATTTAACCTACTGAAGTTATACAAAATAACAAATAAAAGCTCCTTAGGTTGTGGTATCCCTAACTACTCATGCAAGTGCTATATTTATATCATTGAGTACTACATCTAAGCTAGTTATGGTGTAATTTCCTTATGCATTTGAATCCTACTTTCGTAGTGAATCAATTATACTTATAACTAATCCATACTATTCTCATGGTTATGAAATTAGTTACAAGTTCATTTCTTCAATGAAATTACATGAATGAATCACTAAAAACCACATAGATGCACCTCTACTGTCGTGAGTGTACTTCTATGTTTAGCACTTCTTGAACTAGTGTTAAATCTCAATTTTCATTGCAGAAACAACACCTTAGATAATCAATTAATGGTACCAGATTAATCATGATTTAAAGAGTCAAAGTGCTAAATAACTTGCTCAAATCATAGCAATCAAATAACCAAATAATAAACACTAACAATCATAGAAAGTTCAACCAAACCCAAGGCTTAAACTTTAGATACACATAATGAACACAAAATCCAGAACTTGTATATTAACTAAACTTGGAATCAAATACAAAAGATAAAGAGTTTGGAAGGAATACAACCCTTGTCACATGAGCTTTTCTTCCTTGCCATCTTCATCCTCCATCTTCATCCTAATCTAGATAATAAACAAGAATGGAAAAGCTACACTACTCTATACTAAGCTAAACTAACACTAGGAAGATGAAAGAGTTACATTTCTGCAGACTCCAAGCTTCTCCCGTATCTCTCCCTCTCTGCTATGGACTCCCTTCTCTGCTATCTCCTCCCATCTCTTTGCAATGAATTTGGCTATTTAATGATGAAAATGGTCAAGGAATGAAGCTTTACACTTTCTCCTTACAGCTGGTAATGTTTCTCACATGTCTAGCATCCCATGTGAGTTGGTGGAGGTGAAATTGAGTTTTCCGCGTAAAAAGCAGACTTCTCTGACCACAATCCGGCCAGGAATCTGGCCACAAATCCGGCCAAATTCCGGCCGGATTGCTACAGTAAATCTGGGCTGCTACAGTGATCCGAGCTGCTACAGTGCCTCGGATCCGTATGGATCCGAGCTCGGTTCCACTAACCCAGAAACAACCGAGGGTTCGGATGAATAGTGGATCCGAGTGTGGATCACTTGCTCTGTTTTTGGCCAATTTCAACCGATCTTTTCTTGATGTTAGAGGCTGAACCAGCTCATGTCTAAAACACGAAAGTTGTAGCCTTTTGAGTTATCTTTCCAATGCATCAAGAATCACCTCATTTGGATCTGTGTAGGCTGAGATATGACTGAAATACCCTTGCCTGCTCCATACTTTGTTCCAGTTTCGACAAATAGCAATTGACTCTATACTTCGGCCTTTTGACCTAGAAAACCTTCAAACTGGATTCAGATGTCTTCACCAAAGTTGTAGATCTATCTCTTATCTTCAAATGGGTTCAAGAATCATCTCAATCCGATCATTGTAGCTCAAGTTATAGCCGAAATACGAAAATGTGTCAAAACTGTCAAAATACACAAAATCCCACTAAAAAGTGATAAAAACCTCATTTAATCACTTAAAAGCATTTTTCACCAATTATAGCCAAAATGATTCATATTCTTCCAATAATATAACTAAAGTGACTAAAAATAATATAAAATATTATACAATTATTACGTAAATTAGTCACTTATCAAAGGACCTTAAGAAGGGATGTAAATCTTATGCCTTTCTGGACCATAATGAAGTGCTTGCATACTTTCACATAAACCACAAAGAGTCCGGACAAAGGAGCACATATGCAATATGAAAAATAAACATGAATGAAGAGCACAATAAACGTAAATTAATTAAGTCACAGTACAGAGTCTCTCTCTCACACATTTTTACTATAGTTTGTACAGCTCCAACAAGTATTAGAAGGAAAAAAAATTCAAATCTTGGGCTAATTCAACCATCTTGGACTTTAAATTATCAAATATCCATAACAAAGATAGTTAAACAACACCATAACAAATTAACTGAATCGTAGAACAATAGTTCATAACTTCACAAACACTTTGAAATTCCTTACAGCCCCAAATGTTTGATGCCAACATGTCACGTTTATTCCAGTCCCAAACGGCACCATGTGGACAATGGCTTTCATATAGCACTTTGAAATTCCTTTAGAGAGTCCTAACAATGTCAGCATTGATATTAAAAAAGTCATCTTTAGTCATTGCTGGTTTCCTAGGAACTCCAACAGGAATGATCACAAGATGCATGCGAGTAAGGGTATCCTTCAATTGCTCTTTCTTTACAAAACCATGCAGCTAGAAATGTAAACCATACATTAGTAACAAGTAACTAGAGGGTATTTGTTGGGTAATACCAAAATACCAACACCTTGCACACTGGTTTTACAAAACAGTAATGCTAGCTTCAATATCACTTAAAATACTCTGCTAGTCAAGTGGCACACATGAAATTTTAAGGTATATCTCAATTAGCTAGGCTATCTATTTGAAATCAAGAAAAAAAAATTACCTCAACGAATTAATTCATTCACTCACCAACTAAAGGCAAATCAAACCATAATAAATAGCATTTTAAGAACCACAAACACAAATATTTAAATTGCAAAATGTTACCTTCTTTTGTGGGGCTTTGGTAGGTTCTTCCTCATCCTCAAAAGTTTCTTCTTCATCTTCAGAAGATGATTCATCTGAGCTGCTTATCTTTGGTTGCACAGGCTGCCAAAGTTAAATTCAAGCATTGAACATATAAGTGAAATGTTAAGGTCGACAAAAGTCAAATGTGATTAATAATATATGTTGCTACCTTGTTTGCCTTTAGTGGTTCCTCATCTGAACTTTCATCTGAACTTTAATCTTCACTACTACTTTTTGTTTTCCCGCCTTTAGCACTGGATTTCAGAACACCAGTGGGCTATAGAACCCCACAAAGAAATAATTACAAAAGCCAACTGATATGTTAAAAGGAAACAAAATGCATACTTGAAAATTACATACCACAACTTTACTCTTCTTTTTCTGAGGTTCCCCATCTTCACTTTCCTCATCAAAAGTGTCTTCCTTGCTACTGTCTTTATTCGCTTGCACTTGCAAAGCTAAAATAAAAAATGCATCTGATACCAATCAAAAAAGTATGTCCTCTTTAACACTTTAAGCATGTGAAGCTATTACCTGCTTGTTTTCAGCTGCAGAGGATGGCCTCTTGGGAGAAATAGCTTTAGGAGGTGGTGATTGCCTTTTGATAAAGTAGCAAACAAGGAAATATCAGGAATTAGAAAACAAAATGTAGAAAGAACCATAATACCTCTCTAAAGGAATATATGTCGTCCATATTTCGAACAAAATGTAGAAAGAAACATAATACCTCTCTAAAGGAATATATGTCATCCATATTTTTAATGAAGCCTCAGCATTGTAACATTCATCAAACCACTCATCTACTAAACTAAAGCCTTTACTTGCATTCCTTTTTCTTTTCATTTTAATGAAAGTAGGATTAACGAAATGTGACTAATGATAGCTACTGAAGAGAGTAAAGCTAACTTTTATATATGTGAAATCCAAACTGCTAGATATAAGTAGTTGACCAAGAGATACAAATGTGAGACTAATTATTTGACACTGTCACATTCAACGAATCAAAGTGATTAAATAATAAAAGGCAAGAGGTGAGAAAGAAAAGTGATATAAGCATAGATTCAGTTATGACAATAGAAAGAAAGTGATATGAGCATAGATTCAGTTATGACAATCTCTAGGGTGTAGTCAAGCAAGGCAAGATTTAGGCACAAAAATTGGAGGATGTAGTGAAGGAACAGAAGAAATGATCTTGAATTGAAGCAATTCCTTAATACAAATCTCTCAACCCTAAACAAAAGCCTCTTTAGCACCTCTTTTAAATTGTGGCTAAACCCCTGAACAAAGTTGAGATCCAAAATAAAATACAGAAGAAAGGCATTAGTCAATGTAAAGCTATACAAATTATCAAATATGTTTAAACTATACTCACAAGAGAAAAAATTTAAAAAAAAAGAGAAAGGTAGGCACACTTTGAATGAATGTCAATATGCTAAGGAGAAAAGCAGCTGAAATATTAAGAAATACCAGAATGGACATATCAATAATTTCATCCACAAATTTCAATGCCAAAATTCAAGCAACCAGAAACACTAAATTAGGACAGTAGATATAAAATCAACATCATGTATATAGTAATTTAAAACTGCGATAGTAGACCTAGATTCAATTTAATGCCAGAATATCACAAAAACCTTTCCTCAATAAAGATGTGAATTTTATGCGACCAACTTCTCATATTGTGGATTTAATATTTGAGAGTTCCGTCAAACAAGAAACATTGACTCTAGAAATAACTTTCAAGAACTAATATTCTGCGCTTCTAAGCCAGTCACAAAAATTGCTAGAAACTCAATATTAGAATTCTCTAGTTGAAATTTTGTTTCTTCTATCACCTACCTAACCTTTGTGAATAATATCTCCAATGTGGGGCAAAACTTTAATGTGTAAGACTTTATCTTTTATTCTCATTTTGATAAATGGGATTTTAGCATGGTTTTCTTGTATCTTTAAGACATGGATGGCGGTATTCATTCTAATGCCTTTACATAAGACTGGAACTTAAGCTTGAAGTTAAGGTTGAGAATTTAATTTGTTTTAGCTTAGTTATCTCTATTTAGCAAGTGATGACAACGCTTCTTGGTTAATTAGTTGTAGTGTATTAATAATAGGAAAAGAAAAAGTAAGAAAGTGTATGAGAACTATGTAAGATTCTTTCCTTGGAGCATCTCCAATTTTATTTATTTTTAATTTTTTAAGAAAAAACTCGAAGTATGAGATACATAGTGCCTTAGCTTTTCCTATCTCGTCTCTTTTTGTTCAACAGAAGATTATGTGAACATCTTTCCCATTACTTTAGAAGCAGATGCACTATTATTTCCTGTTGTTATTAGTAATGATAGCTAATGGTTTAGTACCCTTAAACTTTTCATTCTGTCGCCCTAGGGCATGAAAATGTGAATTTTATGCAATCAGCTTGTTGTAACATGTAACAAGAACCTCACAGGCTTTCACTATTAAATAACAGAACTTACAACCTATGGACTTAATACTCGCAAGAGAACTTACAACTGATAAGAAAAAATGTAAGGAAAAAATATTCAATTGACAAGTAATAAGTGAAACCAAACGAACTTACAACTGAAATCTGTGAACACTAAATCGGAAGCTCTTCTGCACCAATTCTTTGAAAGTGCAATTAAACCCCTGAAGAAAATTGGCAACCAAAATGAAAAGTATATAGATTATCCATTCTCTTGAGTACTCATACAGGAAAATATTACACATAGAAAATGAGTACTTACCTTTAGTAGGAAACATTGCAGAGGAAAAGGAGGAAGAACCGTAGAGTTTTTTATGAGCAATGTTTGTGTTCCTGATGTATATAGAGACACAAACTTTATTAGTTGTTTGGAATTTTTCTTTCACTGTCGATAATTTGCCAACTGGCCAACAAAAAGAAAAACAAAAGGACAAATCTATATCCCTAGAAATGGTATTAGCCATCATGAATACAATAGATAATGACGCAAAATGGATGAGTTGTTAGAGATTTTTCTTCTCACTCTTGATAATTTCTCAACTGGCAGACGAAAACAAAGGCAAAAGGACAAACCTATATTCCTAATAATGGGTAGAAATCATACCTCATACTTGATTTTTGTGGATCAATCCCACAATTGGGGTATGATGGACAACCATAATTGACTCTTTGTGGAACAATCTCACGGTTAGGATATGGATGAGCAGCCATAATTTGGGGGAAAAGATCGTCAAATTGTTGATCAAGTGCTGGAGCCGTTCAATTGGTACTTTTGTTTGTTGAAACCAGAAAGAAAACGAAAGAGAGAGAAAGGAACGGAAGCAAAGAGAGAGGAACAAAGGAGAAAAAGTATAGTTGAACATGAAGACAAAATGAAATCTACAAACATGCTTCTTCTGAAGCAAAAAGAAAACGAAGTGGAACCACTAGCAAAGAAAAGAAATGGGAAACAGAGAGAGAGAAAGAAAAAGAAAACAAAAGATGATGGGCTAAAATGAAGCAGAAAGGGAGTGTTTTGCTTTCCTGCCACATCGGTGAACTTCCATTTTTTTGTTTGACTTTTGACTTCTTGTCTTTCACAACGAAGACAAAGGAGAAGTGGAGAACAATAGAATTGACGGCAACTACCGCTTTCTTTGGTCTAAGAAAATAGGGGAAGAGACGGGAACGAAAGCAAAAGACCATTCGCGAAAAGTCAAAAATAGCCCTCAACAGTTAGTTATTGTTTTGGGGCCAGTTATTTTTATCTGGTTCAAGGTAGTAATTTCATGTAAAAAGACAAAAATGACCTCAACAGTGATATATTGTTTGGAGAAGTAATCACCGTTCCTGAGACATAAACGGAAGGAAAATTTTCTCCCTCCCCTGATACCGCCACGTGGCTCAATGTAGGAGTAGAAATCTTAACTCTTTCTATTTACGTAAGATATATACTTTGATCTTTTAGTTGCTTTACTGCTTATTCTTTCAAATCGCTTGTATTTTTTATCGGGTATAGACAAAGTAGCTTTCCTAAAGTGAAAGGGATTCTATCTGCTCCATTTGATGAATTGTATCACAACAAAATGTAAGCACATTAATCTAGATTTTTTTATTGATGTATGTTTTTGTTGACAAGTTTGTATTGATGCATGATTTTGGAGACAAGCTTATACTTCCTTTAAGAGTTATAGGAACGAAATCAATTTAATAGCACACAAGTGAAATTTTTAATTTGTTGACATGAAATACAATAAATTTTAATTGTTGGGGAGTAGCTGCCTGCACTCGCTTTTTCCACCCTTGTGTATTCGTGAACTTTTGTTTATTTATACTTTTGCTAAGCGAAAGAAGTTCATAACTAAACTAAGATGCAATTACCCATAGTGAGTTATAAAACTTGAATTATACAATGTATTTATTCGATGGGTAATTAATAAACTGATTTCAAACAAGGCCAAATTTTTCTAACGACTTTACTAAAATGCAAATTTCTTGGCCAACCGTTTTCAAGAAGTGGATCTACTCTGTTAAGGCCAAAATTTTAAGAAATGACCCAATTATGGCAATCATAGTTTAGTCAATCCTAAGCTTGTGAAATTAATACGTTTGCATAAATAAACCCATGAATAATTTTTAAAAAACCAATTAATCTCTAAATTCAATTTTAAATTAGACTATTATTTTATGGATAAGTTTAGCCTTAGGACAAGTCCAAACTCAATATGTAAATAAATAGATAGATAAGTGAATAAATAAATTAATAATGCTCATTTCATGGATCACCAAATTATGGTACCTTCTAAAAAGGGAAACTTTCTAAATTAAGAAAATCTTTAGAATGGGAAATCATTTTTTTTTCTAATACATTTTAGAGAATGTCGAAACATGTTTTCTAGGTTTATTTGAGATAAGATTAGGTACTTCAGGAATAATATAGTGAACTACTTAAACTATATATGTTACTAGTTATAGGTTTGAAATAGGTTTAAAGATGCGTTAAGAATATCTTCAAGTCAAAAGTTTGAAATAGGTGGTACTTACTTTTTTGTGCTTTTCAAAATGCTACATATGAGTTTTCTCAAATGAAAATCTTACTTTGTTATTTGTAAAATGAATCATGCATACTTATTTGAAGTACTTTGTAATGCAAGGGAGCCTCTGCTTGAGGTATGTGACTCGGAGAATTATCCTAACACAGCTGTAGCTAACTTCATTCGTGAGGGAGAATGGGATATTGGTAGATTGGCTGCATAGGTGCCTCCGCACGTGTTAAGTGAGATTATCGACGTAAAGCCACGGCCTGATTCTGACGATATTTTGGTATTGAATGCATCCTCCTCAGGGGTGTTTTCGACCAAGTCTACATACGAGTTAGTTAGGAGGAAGCATAATTCTTCAATGGTGTTGCAGGTTGTATGGAACCCTAT